GTAATTGCTGTTCTGGATAGCTTCTGCCCTCAAAACAATTTTCTGCTGGTCTGTTGTTGCTTAGGCTGAATCAGTTTGATTTATAGAATGTCATTTTTTTTCTCCCCAGCTGTAGACAAGAGAAAAATATTTGTTGAAAGGCTGTTGCAGCAAGATTTAGTTTTTGCCCATCTAGCATCAGAGAAGCTTGCTCACTTTTTATACGATTTTTTCCCTTTCCCTTCCTTCTACAAAAAGTTTTTTTGGGGTTGGGTTGGTTTGGTTTTGTTCTGTTCTGTTTTCTCCAAAGATAACAAGCACTAGGGTTGTGGTTTTGCTTTAGTTTTGGAGTGCTTCCATATACAGAAATACACACACGGCCATTATATTTTTTATATATATATATATGTGGGGCCCTCAACTTAAGAAGGACATGGACCTGTTGGAGTGAGTCCAGAGGAGGACCATGAAGATGCTCAGAGGGCTGGAGCACCTCTCCTGTGAAGACAGACTGAAAGAGTTGGGGTTGTTCAGCCTGGAGAAGAGAAGGCTCCGGGGAGACTTAATTGCTGCTTACCAGTCCCTAAAGGGCCTACAGGAAAGATGGTGAGGGACTGTTTACAAGTTCATGGAGTGACAGGACGAGGGGTAATGGGTTCAAGCTGAAGGAAGGTCTATTTAGATTAGATGTTAGGAATGTGAGGGTGGTGAGGCACTGGAGCACTGTGAGGGTGGTGAGGCACTGGAACAGGTTGCCCAGAGAAGCTGTGGCTGGCCCCGGATCCCTGGGAGGGTTTAAGGCCAGGGGCTTTGGGCAACGTGGTCTAGTGGAGGATGTCCCTGCCCATGGCAGGGGGTTTGGAACTAGACGATCTTTGAGGTCTCTTCCAGCCAAACCATGCTATGATTCTATGATATTACATCTTTCATAATTTCCTTCAGGTTTGTTTTATAACTCTCCTGGATGCTTATTGGAGAGTGGATGGTGGGGCAGAATGAAACTTGTAGAATTCAGCATCTGCTGAACATTAAGTCAGCAATTAATTTAGAAGTTAATATGTTGTCCTTCAAAAAAATGGATGGTTTGTTTGTGAGTACACAAAAAAAGCACATGTGCTAAGTAGGATAGACCACTGATACTTCTGATCCCACTTTTTTCTAGAAACCTAAGGCAAACATTCTTAGAAATAAGTGTGACTCTTCCCTTGAGGACCTGAGCTGACATTGATAAAGGATGCTGAGATCTGGCTAAATGTGAGAGAGAAATTATTGACAGCACATACTTGTTCTGTGTCCTTTTGAGGAGAGCATGTTTCCCTTCTCTGGTTTATTTAATGCCGTTCTCGTGGCTGGAATACAAAAGTGTCCTTAGGATATCATTAAGGTCAGGGCTATGTTAGAAGTTTTCTGTGTGGATAATCTTCACCCCACTAAGCATGAGAGTGGAAGTGAGAGGAGGTTTACTTATTTGCTGTCTTGGCAAATACCTCAGTGATGTTCACTCCATGGGGAAATGGGCTGCTGGGATTTATGTTTAGGTTGTTCCCACCTTAGTAACAAAGTCTGGTTTTTATAACCCGAATTGATCACAGATTAATTTTAAAAATGTTGAAATTGTGGTCTTGTTAAAGTAAAAAATGAGAAATGTAGATTTCTAGTTTATCTGCAAAATCATATTTCCAACCATTTCTGTGCCAGAGTTGGATTTTCAGATTTTTTTTCCAAAATCTCAGTACTTTGCAGTGACATTATTCACTTACCACGTCAGGTTAAATGACTGAAATAGTCCTGCCATTTTAACCTAGTACTTTCGCTAAGAAGTTTCGAAACTAACTTTCCCTAGTGAGACTTAATCCTCGAGATCTTTAGGGTCCCAAAATCTTTTATTTATCTGGTTTTCTCATCTGCATGACTTGTTTATTGGCACTTCTCTGCTTTTTTTGGTCATCTTTAATTCCTGCCATTTCTTTTTGCCATCTCTGATTTTTCTGTTGACTAGTCTTAATCCTTTTTGTTTCAGCATGGATGACATTAAATCCTGTCTACTAATCTGTATGATAGATTTCTCCTTTGGGGGGGGGGGGGGGGAATAATTTAAATGTCTCCCTCTTGCTGCCGAATGTAGAGAGTGAATTGTTGCCAGACAAGAAAGGCTGGTGTTGATTAAAACCCAAGAAACTCCAGCCTAGTTAGCTGGCAGGCAGACAGCATTTTTGGAACGGTAGCTAGCTGTTGTGTTCGTAGTTTCTGTGGAGTCAAAGGGGTTTATGAGGAGCTGTATTTCACTGTGAATTCCACATAGTATGTGCAAACATAGGAAACCAAAGGCAATCTGATTTTGGTAACAAACTCATGCCTGGCAAGTTCAGAGGTACTTCATGATAGAGCTAACCTGGCAAGAAGGAACAGGAGCATAGCTCCCAGGTATATTCCATTATGGAAGATCTTTATTTCTGGCTATTTTTCTTTCTTCTGTTTTTTTCTTTTGTTTTGCTTACATATATCAGGGACTTTGAAACTTCACATTGCCAGGTTAAATTATTCAACAGATTTCTTGCTTCAGGTCAGATTGCTTTGTGCTCTGTGCTTTACAACTCACCCCTGTTTGTTTTTCCTTAAATACAGTAGTCACATTTTTTTCTTTCCTAACAACTCAGCGCCTGGCTTTAACAAATGTGTATTTGCTAAACAATAATTTTAAGTGTTGTTACAATGTTATGAAAAGGATCTATACTCTGCAGCAGCAGATGGTTGTTTCGTCCCAAGTACCTGGATATAAATGGCAAATCTGAAACAACGCTCTTCATATACAGCATTGAATTTCCTTTCTCATTCTTCCCTTCTCATCATAATATCAGTAGGCAGACAGCCCTACTCCTTGTGGGTAAATTAGCTGAGGAGGACCCTGTGAGAAGTCAAAATATCATCTGAGCTTTCTTAGACTGACTTGCCCGCTTCTTTTATTCCAATGGAAATACTTGGGGGCATGAGGGTGTCATGTATTATTCAATATATTGCAATAACCTCTATCCAACCAAACGTACGTGCAAAAACACCTTCATGAGTTTTAAGCTGTGTTCACTTGAAGCACTATAAAAGAGGCAGAACAAAATAAAAGAAAACAGACTGAAGGGTAGAAAGAATTTCATTTATGTTGCAAGTAAACAGAAACCAAAGACTGATGTCAGTGGCAATTTAGGCGAGAGAGACGAATGAGCATTCTGGGCTTTTTTAGTATTATCATTTGTTTGTTTAATTTTTCCTTAATCATCTTTTACTAAGCAGTTAAATGAGAGCAGAACAACACATTAAAGTTAATTCTCAATTCTTCATATTTTACTAAACTTTAGCTTTCTCTTTTCAAAGATTTTTACCAAAAAACCTAAACAAATCCCCCACCCCAAAGAATCACAACTAATTTCTCCTCATTTCCTGGCAATGATTTACTACCGCAGTGCTCAAGTGCAATCTCAAGTTACTTAAACTTTGTTGCTTTTACAAAATATTCTGCAGTATTTACAAGTTATGAATAATACCATACATAATTAAAGCTTCATTATGCTTGACAAGTGAATGAATGAAGTGCATTTTGTGATGCATTACCCAGTCTTTGGGTGAGGGTTTGGTTTTTTGTTTTATTATGATTTCTAACAGCTTTTTAAAACTTTTGTTTCTCCTACTTCAGTTAGTCAATAGTTTGGTATATTCTAGAATTCACAATCAGGCTCCCAGGCTTCATTGCAAATTAATGCAATTCTATTGCACTATATGATTAAATGTTATGCCAATTATATTCTCGTAACACACATCAGCAGAAGGGCGTGGATTCATTTTGCACCATTTTCTAAATTTGCCAGTAGGGAAGGTCTTCAAAAGTGGAGTGGAAGCAATCAGACCTTTGGACATGATGGACTAGAGTTGCAACAGGACTCAAGCAGATAAATGAATTACTGTGCAATTAGCCTCGGAAGAAGCAGGTTCTTAAGAAATGCTTTCAGTGCTTCAGAAAGCGTCCAGTGCTGGGTTCCCCAGTGCAGAGGATACATGGACACACTGTGGGCCAGACAGTCTGTGCAGTCTCCATCTGTGGAGATATACAAAACCAAGTGGACGTGGCCCTGAGCAACCTGCTTTAATTGACTGCTCTGAGCAGGGGTGTTGGACTAAATGATTTCCAGAGGTTCCTGCCAACCTCAGTGTTTCTGTGATTCTGTGAGTTGTACAGCTTAGCAAAATGCATCCTTTTTGAGTGTCTTTTTTTTCTTTTCTGCTAATGTTGCCTCAGTGGCAGTGTATTTAGCAGTAGCTATATTATTATGCCTATTATTGCTAGATTAATTCTTTTTATATGAGCCAGTGTCATATGGAGTCAACATATGCTCACATTTGCTCTTGTATACAGTAGGTGTTCAGAAATGAGGGAAACAAACTCACTAACAATTTGCTGTGTTTTAACTAAGAATATTTCAGTGCTAAATCTAGTTAGGGGTTGTTTTTTTTAACACTTGAAAATGCGTAAATGAATCCATCCATCAAACAGGTCTTTTCTTATTGCCTTACCAATAAGATTTCAAATTCAGTGAGTTTTTAATCATATCTCCATCAGTTTACACATAGTATTTTATCAGATGGACGCTATGCTGAAAGTTGACCTTTTTCTATGTAAGAATCTACACTTTGGATTGAATGGCCTGCATCAATAATAACTGTTTTTTAGAAAGAGAAGGGTTTGGTGCTGTTGTTTTTGTTGTTTTTTCTTAGTTCTCCACAATTCTGAAAAGCAACTATGTAATCTGTTCATTCTACTTGTTTCTTATAGAAAGCTCGAGTCAACTGGATGACTTAAATCCAGCAAACCATGGCTTTTTTTTACATGGACTTTTTATTTACTATGGGAGCATTATAACTTTTTCTTTTAATTCTACACAGACGAGGTTTTCTGTTTTGTTTTTTTCTTTGCAAAGCTTGACTGTTAGCTTGACTTGCTAACATCATTAATGTTAGACTTGCTGTCTTTTCAGAGCGACATGTTGGATGTGAACGAGATCATTAAAGACCTGGCCTCCATGGTGCACGAGCAAGGAGACACAATAGGTAGGTATCACTGTAAGGGCTTTATTACCCTCCTGCACCATTCCAATACGATGTTGTGTGTTTCCTCATGAGCAGCTGTTTGTTGATGTTGTGATTATTTTTCCTGTGTTTTGGGCATTTTGTACATCCAATGACATTTTGATCTGATGAGCTGCCTTGAGCAATAGGGTTCTTATATTAAAGATAGTTAGATGGTATATTTGGCATAAAATAGAATTCACAGTGAGATTAATCTGTTCCGTTTTGATTGTAAAAAGGAGCATGGAGAATATATAACATTAACTGGAAAGGAATCCAATTCTTCCTTTCTACCTGGAACTGTAATTAAAAAACAATAGTAGTAGCAATTATTGCTATGGCTATGGATGATGGTGGAGAAAATTAAGCAGCTTGCTTCTCCTCAACGGAATTTTCTTTCCACGTTGCAGGGTGTATCTGATTAAGTTTACAGTAGCCTAACATCACGATGTGCTCACATGCATAGTCTGAAGCTTCTGCCAATTAGTTGACCTCCTCTTGCTCTACAGCTATCAGTGGCTAGGAGTGTGGTGGAGAAAACTTGGGAAAAGAGATGAGAGTAGACTCTAGTATTATCTTTAAGAGCAGCCCATCACTGACAGCCGCCACTTTTTATGAATAGAGGGATAAGGCACACTAGATCCTCTCCTTTAAAATTTCTTTTGGTCCTTGTCTTTTTCACTGCTGTCTTCTGATGAAGCTAAGAACAATCAATATTTTTTTCTGTATCTTGCATTTTATGTGTGTATGATAATAATTTGCAGTGTTTCAGAAGCAGCTGCCTACTTCCAAATTGGAGAGCTAACCGTCCTAAAGCCACGCTGAGGGACCTAAACTCCACAGAAGCAAGATTTGTGGAGATATTTCTAACCTGCAGTGCTCAGATGGAGTTCTCGCTGGAGCTCCTGGGAGTTGGATCAAGTCCTAAGACAGCCATATGTAGATCATAAAAGAAGAAACTCTTCTCTGCTGTTTATTAATCACTCTGGATTTCTTTGCCAAGCTCATACCTTTACAAGTTGCCATTAGCATAAGATATCTCCTTTCACACCGGAATGAGCTAGCTGCATCCCACTGAGAAACACCACTCAGGTTCACAGGTGTAGAAAAAAGTCAAGATGATATCTAAACTCAACTCTTTTTTTTTTTTTTTTTTTAATTTATGCTTGTTTGGAAGCTCATTTTTGTACATGGCTATCTTTGCAGCCTGATTCGTTGTGTAAAAGCACATCAGATGTTAATGCCTTGAGGGACATGACAACATACATCAGTTAGCTTCAAGATCCTTGTAACTCTGTTTCTTAACGCAATATTTATTATTTTAAGATGTTTCCCATGCATATAAGCGACCCCAGTATTAACTTGCCTGTGAGAAACAGTTAGACTAAGGAGGACGTTTTGTCTTTGAGCCAGTGTAAGGTTTTTGTTGCTTTTGTATCTGACAAGTTCTTTCTTCTTCCTGTTTCACTGCAGCAGATTTTTAATAGTTTCTTGTAGGAGTATATTTTCAGCCTGGCAGCCAGTCAAGGTATCTTCCCAACCAGTTGCTGAAAGGTCCCACTGTTTATCTTTTGACATTCACATTACACAGAAGTAAGTGAGATTAAGAATCAGGAGGCAAAGGGAGTTGAAACCCCCACAGTGAAAATTCAAAAGCAATGATGATATGAGACAGTTCTCTTGACACTTGTTTTATTTTTTTAATGCATTACACTTACATGCATGAAATGAAAACTCTGTGTGTCCTTATTTAGAAAACACGAGGAAAATATATACCCAGGGAATGTGAGGTGCACCACTCAGCAAAATGCTCCCAGGGTTGTAGAGCAAACTATTCTCTGGCTCACCTGAGCTGGAGAGAATTAATGGGAAGAGCTTGTCTGGTCTATGCGTGGCACAGGCAGAGTAACCCATACGTCTTAGAAAAAACTAAAAGTAGTTTTGCTAGCGTGTGGGCGAGTTCCTTAATGAACACATCCATAACACTCCCTAGGGTAGAGAGCAATTTCTGTCATGCAAGGAAGAAATAGATGAGGGGAAATGTAGACTTGGGGCAGCATATCTCTAATTTTTTGTCTTCTGCAAATAAGCCCCATGCCTGCATTCCTAGTCATGGCATCTCTTTGATATGAATATTTAACTAAGCATTACAGTATCAGTGAGTCCAAGCCCTTGAAGCCAAAACAAGCCAGTGGACTAGATTAACTTTGAATCAACAAAACGTCTTTTCAACACAATCTAACTGGATCTCTTAGCAAAAGCATCCCTATGCAGCTTCATCTCTTAGGGTGCTGGTGAGGAGAAAGAGTGTGAGGAGGAAGACACTAATAGGAGAAATTAATAACTGGCTGTGGAATTGGTGTTGGCAACATGGTTTTGGGTTCCGTAACCATGGGACCCTGTTTGCAGATCAGCGTCTACTTGGAAGAGATGGGATCCACCTCACTAGGCAGGGCAAAACTACTTTTGCAATGGGATGGCTGACCTCATAAGGAGGAGATCATAAGGAGCAATAATCACAGAATCACAGAATGGCCGGGGTTAGAAGGGACGTCTGGAGATCATCTAGCCCAACCTCCCTGCTAGAGCAGGATCACCCAGAGCAGGTTGCACAGGATTGTGTCCAGATGGGTTTTGAATCTCTCCAGAGAAGGAGACTCCACAACCTCTCTGGCCAGCCTCGGTCACCCTCGAAGAAGTTTTTCCCATATTGAGATGGAACTTCTTGTGTTCCAGTTTGTGCCCATTGCCCCTTGTCCTGTCGCTGGGCACCACTGAAATGGTGGAGGGAGGGACAGGGTGACCAGCAGTCCTGTGAGGGAGCAATGGACAGCTGAATAAATTGCATGGGGTGGTGTGGCAGGAAAGGTTCACCAAGTCATCACAATGGGGCCTGGGCAGGGTCACCTCTAGCACATGCATGTAGGCAGCGAGTTGCCTATAAGACACCATTGGGGACGAATACCCCAAACCCTCTCCAGGAACACAACATGTTGAGGTCCATCTCTGCTTCTAAACTTTACTCTTACTGTAGCAGAAGGGTTCTTCAGCCAAAGCATCCAAGGCAAGGATTAAGGACTTGGTGCTGTGAGAAGTAAATTACATTGGGGGTGATTGCTAGAGCAACAGTCACTCCTTTCCATGCTCATAGATGGTCACTCAACTGAAGTACAAGCACCTTAACAGATTGAAACATTCCCAGTCCTTCATACAGGACATTGCTATATTACACATGCAAGCTTGTTCTTCCATTGGATCTGCTGGAATAAATGGACATAGTTCCATGAAACCAATTTTATATCTGGTGTTGGGGAGAAGAGAATCCTTAAATCCCCAGTTCCTCTGAAGAAAGTGTCAACAACGCAGCTGACAGTATTTGTGTTAGTACCTGATGAAGGCAGTGCTTATTTGTCCACCTCTGTAGGCTCCTGTTTGTGTTGTAACAGAGAATAAAGGTGACCTGAATAACGCAGTTATTGCATTCTTTTTGCCTATGGCAAAAGAAAATGCTGCTCTTTTTTTGTTGTTGTTTTAGAAGAGCTTTTTTTTCCATCCCACCTGTGTATATAACCTAACTAGTTATGCCAGAATAACATGCCAGATCTACATCCCTTATCTAAATGGTTCTAATTCCACTTTCGCCACTTATATCACTGTTTGCAGCTCCGTCACATTTCTCAAAGCCACAAGGACAGACCCACCTTCTGAAAACACTTTACACTTTTAAGAGAGTCTCGTTTCTTCCTCTGTAGGACAGTTTTAGAACCAACCTTCTGCCGGTCTATCTGTAAACTCCCCAACTCCCTAAAATGGAAAGAGATCCCAAGATCACATACCAGCCATCTACTTTAAGATTACAGCAGCAGAGACACAGGAACTAATTTACCAGTCCTCTACCTCTTGTCCAGACCAAATGTATACAAATCTATCTTTATGCAGCAAATCTCACTGGCTGAAAAGAGACCCTACTGTGTCAAGCCAAATACTTCCTCAGACTTTCTTTTACTTTCATTACTTTTCCAGGTTTAGATCTTGGTGATACTAACCCTTCACTTCACTCTTGAACTCTAGGCATTTTATATTTGAAAATAATAAGGTGAAGAAACTTCATAACGTGATCTAAAGTGGGTGCTCCCTGACTTTACAAACATAACTACATGGTATCTTTCAGGCTAGAACCCACAGACCTGACAAGACAAGTATAAACATGGCAGCTACTTCTTTCATTCAGTCTCGGAGGAACTTCTTGATGGGCTCAATATATTCAGTCCTTGAGCAATGCTGATGTTCCCAGACATACCACATTGTCACTTATTGCCTAATGATAATAATAATAAACTTCCTTCAATGTAAAATATATTTTCATGAATGCAAATGAGTTGCTTATTTTGGAAGCTTTGGAATATGGGGAGGGTTGTTTTTTTAGTTTTGGTTTGTTGTTTTTTTCTTTCCTGTGAAATCAGCTCAGCTTTATTGCTTGTTTTATCGTTATTGCCTTTCTGACCCGAAGGTTGATTTAACATGTAGACACTGTCAAGAGGGCACATCGGCACCCTTCCACACATGTCCTCCTCCAGTCTGACTGCCTGAACAGCACAGCCAAGAGTCTGTTGTCAGATGCACTAATGCAAACCGAGCTGGGAAATCATTCAACTGGATCCTTAACTAAACTCTCCTGAGTTATGTGTCTCGGTTGGGACATCTGCAGAAAATGAACACATCTTGCGAATAGTCCCTGAATACCTGAATGTAACAGCTTTAATAGCTACGTTCAGTTGAATGTGGTCTGCAAAGTCTCTCATTTGGTTAAGTTTCCAAAGTGATCTCAGAGGAGGCTATTATGCGAATGGGTACATTTATGTTCTTAATGGTTCCTGATGAATTGGGAAATCTCTTGACTCTTGCTTTCAGCCACTTGTTGAGACATAGAGTTACATGTCAGTACAGAGCACCACCCATGCAGGAGGGGTGCACTGGGGTAT